GAGAAATGCTGTAACATTTTTTTTAATGTTTAGGGTAACCCTCATAACTACTCGGGGTTTTCTCATTAAATGAAATTTGCCAAATGAAACGTTTGAAGAATGAGTGAAGTTCATTTGATATTACGAAGATGCTCATCTCCTATTACTTTCTTTCACAGTGATTGTAGAATATGCATGTTTTAGTTGTAGTCTATGTGGCTTTTAAAATAAGTCTCATAGATTTTGGTTCCTTCTCAAGGGCTTCACTAGCCTAGGGGTAGTGTGTGGTCTCCCCAGATTTGGGTATCTTTTCAAGGGCTTCACTAGTCAAGGGGTAGTGTATAGTCTCCCCTGATTTTGGTTTCTTTTCAAGGACTTCACTCGTCCAGGGGTAGTGTATAATCTCCCCGGATTTGAGTTTCTCTTCAAAGATCTTCACTAGTCTAAGGGTAGTGTATTGTCTCCCCTGATTTGGGTTTCTTTTAAAGGGCTTCACTTGTATAGGGGTAGTGTATAGTCTCCCCTGATTTGTGTTTCTTTTCAAGGGCATCACTAGTCTAGGGGTAGTGTATAGTCCCTCCCCCCCTAATTTGTGTTTCTTTTCAAGGGCGTCACTAGTCTAGGGGTAGTGTATAATCTCCTTAGATTCTCTAGATACTTTTCTTCTTCACATAGTGGTCAGCGGCATTTTGTTTGGGCTCAAAGTACACATTCCTACGCCACTGGCTGTACAGGCAAATACCATACGAATGTTATTTAGCGCGCATATCTAAGATTTAATTTTATGAATCACTAAAATTAAATTATAACATTCGGTTAATTTTGCGTTAAAATTAAACAAACACTTTAAAAAAAAACAAAACAATATACGAATAAAATATCCAGCCAAATAACATTAATAAAATAGATGAAACATGAAAGACACCGTAATCAAATTAACTTGCCAGGGGGGAGACAATCGATTTAAGCGCGTCAACATGTTAAAATGAAATTAAAATGTCAATTACGTTGTCCGTAAATTTCTTGTGTGTTTGCATTGTGAGATTAATTAACTCGATCTTGTGATGCAATGGTGCTTCCAGATCATGTAACATCTTCATCAAATCATGTTCACTGTAAAGCTCTGACGTCATCGAAATTAAGACTGCAGAGCATGGCCGGATTTAGCTGGCTCGTGGCCCCAGGCTATTCAAATTTTGAGGCCCCTTGCAACCGTTGGGGAAGTCTTCTGGATATTTACCACCCTCCCGCCCCCCTCCCCCCTCTGTGTATACAGAAATTAAATGTGGGTATGTATGAGACAGAAGGGGCTCGAATGTGGGCCTATGGTTTTGTTTAACATTTATTATGGTAACCGGTGCTGTCTTGTACAAATGTCATTCATGTACATACATTAAAGCCACCCAAGCCTCATACAAACCCACCCAAGGCCCACTAAACCCACCCAAGACCCACTAAAGCCACCCAAGACCCACTAAAGCCACCCAAGCCTCACACAAACCCACTAATTCCCAGCCTAGCCCCGCACAAGCCCGCCCAAGACCCACACAATCCATCCATGCAATCCACGAGAGACACGCCCCTGAGGTTAAAGCTCTTTGCACTCCACGCCAATCATTAAGGCAAATCAGTTTTGAAACACCCTCCACGTCAAACCCGGTCACTGAGTACCCGTATGTACGTGTGTTTGATTAGGGGCGGGTGGGAGTGTGGGTACCCGGCGTGTTTGTGTAAAGGCGGGTCTCTGATAGCTTGTATGAAAGGAGGAATACATATTTTGTTAGAGCATGTTGAACTCACCTGTAGATTTATCCCCAGGCGCTGATTGCCTTACGTCCCAAGTATCCAAACTTTTCAAATTGTTGCACCCTTGCTACGTCCCGTTTTTCACAAGAATCCCCATGACAAAGCACTACCACAAAAAGGGAATTTGGTGGTATGATTTTTTTTTTGTTTACTTTCTTGGCGCCCATGAGATGAAGCCATGGTTCCCCAGGGTGCCACCGCTGAAGCCATGGTTCCCCAGGGTGCCACCGCGCAAGTTCTAATGGCATCCACCCTAAGTAATTCAGAGGGTGTATTAACATTTCGGTAATCGTTGAAACACGCCACCCGTCTATGTACTCTTGAGTGAAGTCAACATTTCACACAGTGGCGTGGTGAATCTGTACTTTTGAGTGAAGTTAACATTTCACTCAGTGGCAGGGTGAATCTGTACTCTTGAGTGAAGTTAATATTTCACACAGTGGCGTGGTGAATCTGTACTTTTGAGTCAAGTCAACCTTTCACACAGTGGCAGGGTGAATCTGTACTTTTGAGTAAAGTTAACATTTCACTCAGTACTTTTGAGTGAAGTTAACATTTAGCTCAGTGGCATGGTGAATCTGTAATCTTGAGTGAAGTCAATATTTCACTCAGAACTTTTGAGTGATGTCAACATTTCACTCAGTGGCGTGGTGAATCTGTACTTTTGAGTGAAGTTAACATTTCACTCAGTACTTTTGAGTGAAGTTAACATTTCACACAGTGGCATGGTGAATCTGTACTCTTGAGTGAAGTCAACATTTCACTCTGTGGCGTGGTGAATCTGTACTTTTGAGTAAAGTTAACATTTCACTCAGTACTTTTGAGTGAAGGTAACATTTCACTCAGTGGCAGGGTGAATCTGTACTTTTGAGTGAAGTCAACATTTCACTCAGTGGCATGGTGAATCTGTACTCTTGAGTGAAGTCAATATTTCACTCAGAACTTTTGAGTGAAGTCAACATTTCACTCAGTGGCATGGTGAATCTGTACTTTTGAGTGAAGTTAACATTTCACTCAGTACTTTTGAGTGAAGTTAACATTTCACTCAGTGGCATGGTGAATCTGTACTCTTGAGTGAAGTCAACATTTCACTCTGTGGCGTGGTGAATCTGTACTTTAGAGTGAAGTTAACATTTCACTCAGTACTTTTGAGTGAAGTTAACATTTCACTCAGTGGCATGGTGAATCTGTACTCTTGATTGAAGTCAATATTTCACTCAGAACTTTTGAGTGAACTTAACATTTCACTCAGTGGCATGGTGAATCTGCACTCTTGAGTGAAGTCAACATTTCATTCTATGGCGTGGTGAATCTGTACTTTTGAGTGAAGTTAACATTTCACTCAGTACTTTTGAGTGAAGGTAACATTTCACTCAGTGGCAGGGTGAATCTGTACTCTTGAGTGAAGTTAATATTTCACACAGTGGTGTGGTGAATCTGTACTTTTGAGTGAAGTTAACATTTCACTCAGTACTTTCGAGTGAAGTTAACATTTCACTCAGTGGCATGGTGAATCTGCACTCTTGAGTGAAGTCAACATTTCACTCAGTGGCGTGGTTAATCTGTACTTTTGAGTGAAGTTAACATTTCACACAGTGGCGTGGTGAATATGTACTCTTGAATACACGTTTCTTACAACAAACATGGTATCGCTTCTTAGAACAAACATGGGATCGTGTCTTAGAACAAACATGGGATCGTGTCTTAGAACAAACATGGGATCGTGTCTTATAACAAACATGGGATCGTTTCTTAGAACAAACATGAGATCATTTATTAGAGCAAAGGTGGGATCGTTTCTTAGAACAAACATGGAATCGTTTCTTAGAACAAACATGGGATCGTGTCTTAGAACAGACATGGGATCGTTTCTTAGAACAAACATGGGATCGTTTCTTAGAACAAACTTGGGATCGTTTCTTAGAAAAAAGGTGGGATCGTTTATTAGAACAAAAATTCCAGGAAGCCCACTTAGATTTAATGGCAGAAATAAAAGTAATATACAAATATATGATCAAGGAAATACAGATAAGAAATACCGACTGCCGTTACATTAAAAAGCCGACGGGGGCACAACTCCAGCATTGATTATATCTAGACCCAATCATTCAATCTAGATTGCGTAACGAAGTGACGTAACGCGACAGGCTGGTTAAACCGAGGATAGATGTAACGGTTTGACGTCACGCGCCCTTGACCTTGATCGGGCTTTGTGAAACTATTATTAAAACCTAACGATTTTGCCCGGGGCAACTGTTTCTGATTGTTCTTTGGAACAAATCGTTATCATTAACGTTGAATGTTTAGGTTATCAGGCCAGCTTATCATTTATCGTGTTTCTGTTGGTACGAAACAGCACCTCTGCCAACATGAATCAGCTGCGCACGCTCCAACTGTGAATATTGTGGAGAGTTCGGACTACGACGGCGCCGGGGGCCTCTGACACCGGCGTCTGACCAGGGATTAACGGCCGTCTGACACCGTCTGACAGGTACAGCCGGCGCCAGCTGACCAGGGATCACGATCGACGGATCAAGCCATCTGACCAGGGCATTTACCTGGGACGTCTAGACCTGGCGCCTGGACTGGGAGAGGAACTATGGGACGGGGAGGTATAAATAGGGATCTCTGGACGGGACGACGCAGCGCGGCCGGATGGTTAGAAGAAGAAGGCGGCCGGACTGAGAACTAGATAGCAGGGAGAAGTCAGAGTTGTGAGACGAGTGAAAGTGTAAGCAAGTGACAGCCAATAAAGAACACGAGTTAATCATCAAATGTTATCATCGGAGTTGTTTCCTTATTGAGTACCAGATCTAGATGAAGTTTGTCAGAGAGTAAGCCAGGTTTCCTTACAATATGCTCTTAGTGCATTACCTTAACCACGGCAATCTCTCCTGGAAATCTCAGCATCTTTGAACCCAATATTAAATAAAAATCAACACTTAAGCTAACACAATAATTAATAAGAAAGACGACGGCACCTGTTTTGAGAATAATTTCCCTTTCACTAAAATCAAATTTGGTCCACAAAATATTTTGTTACCAGGATTGATTAATTTTTAAAACATCCTTTTTCTTGCAGTTGCACGTGAAGATGCTCTAGGTAAATCTGACTGACCTCCATGATGGCTGGCACACGTTGCCGTGTCATCCATTTGCCGTCTTTGGTCCTTTTGTCCATCGCGTCGTTTGCATCGATCAACAGTCAACTCCTCGACAGCGGCTACTATGTTATTCCTGGCCTAAACCACACCGCCTACGTCAAACACGGGGACATCAACATCGGGACATTTTTGGGCGTTTACACGTCTTCCGCCGGGACCGGGTTCAAGTGTGACAACTTCGCGGTCACCGAGTTCAACCTTCAGAAGATGGAGGCCTTCTCGTACGCCGTCGAGAGGATCAACAACGACTCGGATCTGCTGACCAACGTGTCCATGGGGTTCGTGGTTCTCGATGAATGCGGACACGCCAACCCGGTCCTAGCCCAGTCCCTGTCCTTCTTACCGCGGACATCAGCCGTGGGGACGCGTGATCAAAACAATCCACCAACGTCCCCGCCACGGGCTGACTCGCTCGACCACTACGACGTCATCGGGGTGGTGAGTCCGAGTAGAAGCGACTGGACATCGCCCATATCGCAGCTGTACTCGACCGTGCAGCTTCCCATCATGGGCTACAAAACCGGAAGTGACGAGCTGTCGGACAAAAACAAACACCGGTATTTCATGAGAGTCGTCCCCCCTGACAAATACCAGGTGTCCGCCATGTTGAGGTTCATCTACCAGATGAAGTGGTCGTACATCTCCGTCCTGTACCACGCGGGGACCTACGGGGAGCCACCTTTTGAGAACATCAAGCGCAGGGCGCCGAGTTTCAACATCTGCATCGCTGCGTCGCACAAGGTTGACGAGCTGTCGGACATGGAGCCCATCCTGAAAGACCTCCTGGACGTGCCTCGGGCACGCGTGGTCATCCTGTTCACCAACCCCGCCGTGGTCTTGAACCTGTTTGAAACGGTGCGACGGCTCAACGCGTCCGGCCAATTCATCTGGATAGGAAGCAACGCGTGGGCGGGCTCGGTGACCGTGAACCTGAGGGACTACGCACAGGAGATGGCCGGCGGGTTCGTGTTCCAGCAAGTCTACGCCCGCGTTCCGGATTTTGAAAAATTCTACCGCCTTCAAAATCCTACGACCTCGTCGAATCCTTGGCTGGCACAGGCGTGGGAGAATTTAACGAGCTGTTCCCCGCACAATGTTTCGTGTAGCGAGCTTCACGCCGTCGGTCGTGACATCGTCTTCACTGACGACGTCTCCCATCTCATCAACGCCATCCTAGCCTTCGCCCACGCAGCTGATCGTCTGCTCAAAGAACTGTGCCCGAATGTCACGGGCAAGGCGGCGCGGACCTGCATCACGGGCGAATCCTTGTTGCAGTATCTACTCGTGACGTCGTTCTCAAGCTACACTGGTCTGATCAATTTCGACGATAAGGGTGACATGACTGGCAAGTACTGGATCAAACAGATCGTGCCCGATGACTCTGGGGGCTTAGTGGATAACTTGATCGCGACTTACGACATTAAAGCCTACCGTGTTGAATATGTGCCGGATTTTAAGATTGCCTGGGCATATTTTGACACAGTCGAGAGGGTCGTCCCCTTGCAGGAAGGTCAGCTCGCGGATATCCCCGAGTCCGTCTGCAGTCGGCCCTGCGTCTTGGGCGAGTTCAAAATTCCGAAGAAGCTCGAATGCTGCTGGGATTGCCGGACCTGCCGGCCCTACGAGCGAATTCTCCACGAGAAGGCGTCGTGCGAGCCCTGCCCGTCTTTCTACTGGCCCACGCCGGAGTCGAACTTCACCAAGTGCCAGGCCATCCCGCTGTCCCACCCATCCATCAACGGCTCCGTGTCCATCCTCTTTATCACCCTCGGGATCCTCGCCATCATCGCCGCAGCGCTCGTTTTGGCCGCGTACATCTACCTCTGGGAGGTCCGCGTCATCAAGGCGTCCAGCCGTGAGCTCAGCATCCTCCAGCTTGTGGCCATCCTAGTCGGCTATCTGACCATCATCTGCTTCCAGACCACGCCCACCCCCGTGCTCTGCAGCGCCATCTATTATTTGTTCTGCCTGAGCTTCGTCTGGCTGTACTCCCCGCTCCTGGTTAAAGCCGTTAGGATTTTCAGAATCTTCCAGAGCGGGGCCAAATATGATCGTCGCCCCAAGTTTGTCAGTTCAAAGTGGCAGATCGTCATGGCGATCATCTTGATCGCTGTCCAGGTAAGGCGGCTTCTTGGCAAGATGGAAAATTTTTGCAAGCGTTTTAACTAGATTATTCATCACTGTTGCATTCATCGAATTCTTCACAACACCATTAGATATCACCAAGCACCCTTCTCATCACTATTAGAAACCAACATTCATTCACATCATCAATATATATCACTTAACAATTAAAAATCACACCCCCATGATTAGATCTCATCTTTCAGTCTCGAAATTTGTTCTAAAAACAAACAAAAACTGGATGCATAAAAAAATGATTGTTCTAGTTAGTCTATCATTTATTGTTGCTAGACCGGTGCTCGGCAAACTTTTTTTGAGCTAGGGGTCATTTTTGCAAATGATATCTCTTAGAAGTATTTATTTGAGGCACGTCATGATAGAGTAGGAAACCAGCCACATCTATTCCTTGAAAAGAGCCGCATGCCACCTCGGAGCCACGGGTTGCCGACCACCGTGCTAGTCTATCATTTTAATAGCATTATAACTTATAGGTGTCACACATCTCCCCACGTCATCATGTCGCACATCTCCACACGTCATTGTGTCGCACGTCTACCCACGTCAATGTGTCACACAGCTTCCCACATTATTGTGTCACATCTTCCCACGTCATTGTGTCGCGCATCTTCCCAGATCATTGTGTCACATCTCCCCACGTCATTGTGTCGCACGTCTACCCACGTCATTGTGTCGCACAGCTTTCACAAAATCATTTTGTCACATCTTCCCACTCATTGTGTCACACCTTCCCACGTCATTGTGTCGCACCTTCCCACGTCATTGAGTCACATCTTCCCACATCATTGTGTCACATCTTCCCACGTCATTGTGTCGCATATCGGTCCACGTCACTGTGCCGCACATCTTCCCACGTCATTGTGTCGCACATCTTCCCACATCATTGTGTCGCACATCTGACCACGTCATTGTGTCACATCTTCCCACATCATTGTGTCACATCTTCAAACATCATTGTGTCACATCTTCCCACGTCATTGTGTCGCACATCTGACCACGTCATTGTGTCGCACATCTTCCCACGTCATTGTGTCGCAATTCTTCCCAAATCATTGTGTCGCACATCTTCCCACATCATTGTGTCGCACACCTTCCCACATCGTTGTGTCGCACATCTTCCCACGTCATTGTGTCGCACATCTTCTCACGTCATTGTGTCGTACATCTTCCCACGTCATTTGCCGCACATCTTCCTATGTCTTTGTGTCGCACATCTCCCTACGTCATTGTGTCACACATCTCCCCACGTCATTGTGTCACGCCTCTTCCCACGTCATTGTGTCGCACATCTTCCCACGTCATTGTGTCGCACATCTTCTTACGTCATTGTGTCGCACATCTCCCCACATCATTGTGTCACACATCTCCCCACGTCATTGTGTCACATCTTCCCACGTCATTGTGTCACACATCTCTCCACGTCATTGTGTTTCACATCTCCCCACGTCATTGTGTCACACATTTTCCCTTGTCATTGTGTCGCACATCTTCCCACGTCAATCAAAACATCAATAACAAATACAGGAAGATTTTACCGTCTCTACATTACAGCTAATCATCTGTGTAACCATCTCCGTCCTCTACCAGCCGAGCTCGACCTTGACCCAGCCCGTCGCCACTGAGAAGTTCGTCGAGCTGTCCTGCGACATGACCTTGCCTGGCCTGACGACATTCCTGGCGTACAACCTCATCCTGGTCTCGCTGTGCGCCGTCTTCGCCTTCAAGACCCGGAAGCTTCCGGACAACTTCAATGAATCCCGCTTCATGTCCATGTGCGTGTCCACCACGCTGGTCATCTGGCTAGCCTTCATCCCCACCTACGTCACGGCCATCTACCAGTACGTTCGGGTCCTGCTCCTGTCTGCGGCGCTGCTCCTGAACCACACCGTTGCCTTGGTGTTCCTCTTCATCCCCAAGATCTACGCCGGCATCTGCCTCCCGCAGGAAGAAACGGCGGCGAACCCAAGCTACAAGTTTCAAACCGGCGCCGCCGTCACGACCCGATCTTCTCTGCACCCCAACATGAACCGCGTGGCGCCCCACTCATTCACAGGAACCCCACGGCCAGGTTTCTAGCATCGTATCGAAAACGTGTTTTAAATCGGGCCGATGGCCGGTCTCAATCTCTTTTAACGATCTCGACATAATTATCGAGGTACAACCATTGAAGTGTTGGGTCGAAGAGTTTCTCGTGTCCTCCTGCACCAATCAGCACATGAGACTCGGCGTGGATTGGATGTAATTACCGGAAACATGCGCGATTTTCTTTCATTTCTCATGCATCGCGGTGCAATAGACTTTTAAGTGTATTCCGTTGAGGATAGTTAATACTGTCATTAGAACAAGCTTCAGTATCTGGTAATAAAGAACGATTTAAACGCTTGATCAGAAAAAGCGCAAATTAAAAGTAACAATCATTATAAAGGGCTTAGAGCAGAGGTTCTCAACATTCCTAATGCAGTGACCCTTCAATACAGTTCCTCGTGTTGTAATGATCCCGTGACACAAAATTCTTTTCGTTTCAAATTCATAACTGTAAATATGGATATGTGTTTTCAGATGATCCTAGGCGACCGAGTGAAATAGTCTTTTGGACCCCCCCCCCCCCCCCCGAGGTTAGCGACCAACAGGTTGAAACCGCTTCCTTAGAGGTATAAAACATTTATAATCTGTATTCCACAAGAGACAGATGCCGTAGTGAAGCGCCTGTCCTACAGAGGACAGAACACCAGATGTAAAAGAGGTTTCTGTGAGGCTTGAAAGTCATTGACAGTTAAAATGTTCACACTGACAGTTAAAATGTTCACACTGACAGTTAAAATGTTCACACTGACAGTAAAAATGTTCCCGCTGACAGTTAAAATGTTCACACCGACAGTTAAAATGTTCACACTGACAGTTAAAATGTTCACACTGACAGTTAAAATGTTCCCACTGACAGTTAAAATGTTCACACTGACAGTTAAAATGTTCACACTGACAGTTAAAATGTTCACACTGACAGTTAAAATGTTCACACTGACAGTAAAAATGTTCACGCTGACAGTTAAAATGTTCACACCGACAGTTAAAATGTTCACACTGACAGTTAAAATGTTCACAATGACAGTTAAAATGTTCAAACTGACAGTAAAAATGTTCCCGCTGACAGTTAAAATGTTCACACCGACAGTTAAAATGTTCACACTGACAGTTAAAATGTTCACACTGACAGTTAAAATGTTCACGCTGACAGTTAAAATGTTCCCGCTGACAGTTAAAATGTTTACATTGACAGTTAAGATGTTTACATTGACAGTTAAGATGTTTACACTGACAAATAAAATGTTCCCATTGACAGTTAAAATGTTCACATTGACAGTTAAGATATTTACATTGACAGTTAAAATTTTCCCGCTGACAGTTAAAATGTTCACACTGACAGTTAAAATGTTCATGCTGACAGTTAAAATGTTTACATTGACAGTTAAGATATTTACATTGACAGTTAAAATGTTCCCGCTGACAGTTAAAATGTTCACACCGACAGTTAAAATGTTCCTGCTGACAGTTAAAATGTTTACATTGACAGTTAAGATAATTACATTGACAGTTAAAATGTTCACACTGACAGTTAAAATGTTTACATTGACAGTTAAAATGTTTACACTGACAGTTAAAATGTGTACATTGACAGTTAAAATGTTTACATTGACAGTTAAAATGTTTACACTGACAGTTAAAATGTTTACGCTGACAGTTAAAATGTGTTCATTTATGTCAAAATCCAAATGTGTTCATTTATGTCAACATCAAAATGTGTTCATTTATGTCAAAATCCAAATGTGTTCATTTATGTCAACATCCATGTCACATTGTGATGACGGATGTCAGCAACATGCTAATTTATAGTTTTCCCACTGACAGTTGAAATGTTCACTGCCTCATTAGTTAAAACAGACTATAACAGTTGAATGAATGCTTTGATATCAACGGGTTGAATGTACCAGCTCATTAATGTCAACATCCAAATGTGTCCATTCATATCAACATCCAAATGTGTTCATTTATGTCAACATCCAAATGTGTTCATTGATGTCAACATCCAAATATGTTCATTTATGTCAACATCCAAATGTGTTCATTGATGTCAACATCAAAATGTGTTCATTTATGTCAAAATCCAAATGTGTTCATTTATGTCAACATCAAATTGTGTTCATTTATGTCAAAATCCAAATGTGTTCATTTATGTCAACATCAAAATGTGTTCATTTATGTCAAAATCCAAATGTGTTCATTTATGTCAACATCCAAATGTGTTCATTTTTATGTCAACATCCATGTCACATTGTGATGACGGATGTCAGCAACATGCTCATTTATAGTTTTTATTCCAAGATGTTCATATTTTGCCAATGGATCAAAATGATCTCCTGCGTCACTTTTAAACAAATTGATATGTTCATTCGCCATTGCTTCATTTTTTAAAATGTATATGCGATATCGCTCAAATATGTTCATTAATGTGACTTCACATTTGAATGTTGACATATACGGTTTCACTAAATAGGTTCCTTTAGGTGAGAGCATCCCAATATAAAGACAGATAATCTCAGAATACCATCTCTAACTAGTTATTTACTAATAACATACGGATTTCAGTCAAACGCGCCTACAGAGGTCAGAGAAACTCGCCTTAAGGATGTTAGTCAAACGTGCCTACAGAGGTCGGTGAAACACGCCTACAAAGGTCAGTGAGACACGCCTAAAGAGGCCAGTGACACACGCCTTACGGAGGTTGGTGAAACACGCCTACCTACAGAGGTCATTGAAACACGCCTACTGTGGTCAGTGAAACACGCATGCAGATATCGTTGAAACTCGCCTACAGATGTATTGGAAAGACGCCTACAAAGGTCAATGAACACGACTTAAAAGGTCAGTGAAACACGGCTTACGGAGGTTAGTGAAACACACCTACATAGGTCAGTGAAACA